GAAAGAGAAGGAGAGAAAAACAATGTTTAGGCTTAGAAAATAAGACATAACAGAAAATGGAGTGAGTTTTATTAGAGAGTGGGGGTGATGTCCAGACTAGAGGGAGCCCCTATGGAAAAGGTGTCTTGCATCAGGGCTGCTGTAATCTTGAACTGATGACTGGGGAAAAGCCAAAAGCAATGGGAGATTACTGGAGTTCCTGCAACCTTTAAAACTGGTGCCCTTACAGCTGTATATTATCCAAGGGTCAGAAGCTCCGATAAGAAATCATGCAAACTAGTCCCGAATTAAAAAAAAAAAAATAAAAAATCATCCCATTTAAAACAGGATTTAGAAAAATAAGGAGCAAACTTGTGTATGCATCGATAGAAAATGCTAGAATTTTTTATTTAAAAAAAAAAGGGTGTGTATATGTGTGTGTATCTATATTAAATAAATCAGGCAATCTAGTTTCTCTTGTATCTATTTTAAGATATTGACATAGTAGAGATATTAGAGATTTGAGGGAGGAAAGAGATGTTTGAGTCTCAGAGCAAATGCATACCGATGATCAGACAAACTAACTCTTCTGCTGCTGTTTGTGATTAAAGTTGATATGATTAAATAGCATAAATCCTATTCTAAGAGATAGAATAATCAGTAAATACATGGATACATGTAATGAGGGTAAAGACAACATACCTTTTGTAAAGGGAAGTCATGCAGTGCGTGGCTAGTAGAGTTCTATAAAGGAGTTGTTGGGCACAAAAATAATGCTGGTTGGTGTAAAGTTTGTCTGAATGTGCTTTGTACTGAAAGGTTTATGAACAGGCTTCCACACCAGAAGCTCTTCAAGTAACACACCTGTAGTGGAGTAAATGGGGAGTTCTGTCATAGATGGGTAGTTGGTTTAAATAAAAAGAGGATGTGAGTAAATGGTCATTTTGGGAATACTACATGGGTCTGTGCTTTCCTCTTTGGGGGAAAAGGGTAGAAATACTGATGAGAGAGGTTATGTTCCTAGTTGTAAAAACAGGGAAAGACTTGAAAGGCTTTGTGGTACTGAGTGTCTGACTGAGAAAATAAGCATAAGTAAGGGTGAAGAGATACATTTGGCTTGATGGGTGAGGCAAAGTCTTTATATACAGGTTCATGAGCACTTCAACTTAATGTTTAGAAATAACTGAACAAGTAAAATGGTTGCCAAAGATTACAATAGTACCAATGACGTAACAGAACTATGGAAGTTAGAGAAAGGTGATAAGGGTGATGAGAAGTAAAGAATACTTCTCTAGAAGGAGGTACTAAATGGATTAGGATACTTCTGTGTTTAAAGAGGTACCTGGAGGAAGAGATATGGTGGAATGTTTTGAAAACCAGGAGTAGCACAAAGAGAGTAAGATATGGCTATAAAAACAAGAGATCACTTGTGTTAGTAGATCCAAAGCAAAAATTTTTTCTCTACACGTGATGATGAGGTCCGCTGTACAATTATAGAAGATCTTATAGATGCTAAGAGTTTTTTTTTCTAAAGGCAATTGAATAAGACCAGGAAAAAATGACTGTGGCTGAATGCAAGTATTTAATGGCTGGAGCAGGAAATCCATGTGCTTCAGATCTCTGGGAAAGTGAAGCAGACAGCTATCACTGTTTACTTGACATGTGCTTACATTCAGACAGGCTACCGGGCTAGATGGAACTTTTATTCTGGCTTAGGATAGGGGGTGTTGTGGTGCATGTAACAAAAAAGGCAAAGCAAACTCCTCCATTTCTCACTTGCCATGCCTATGTCTTGCAAGGTTTGGAAGATTTAGGCAGAGGCTTTGGACTTGTTTGAATTCTCTTGCTCTTTGTAGAACAGTGACCTGATCACCCAGACTACTGTGTGATAGGAAGCTTGTGACTGTTACTGGAATGATGCTGCTTAAAGTACTTCAGCATTCTGTTGGTGACCTTAAATTTTTAATGGAAACAAGAAGTGGTTTCACTGTACTTTTCACAAGAAAAAAATGTCTTCACTTGGAAGTGAGGATGGAATTGATTCTTATTTTGTCAGAACGTTTATTGAATAGGCCCAGACACACAGGGTTATGTGTTCTGTAACTTTCCTAAGTTGTCAAATGAAGACTGTGGCTGGGCCAAGGAAACGTTCATTTCTTCCTTCTCATATGTAAGGAAAAGAAACTGAGGAAGAGAGAATCAAAGTAAGAACCCTTACTTTAATGTAATGGTCATTAGGATCGTCATATCAAAATAAGCCTTAGGAAAAGGTGGGTGTCCCCTCATATTTGGGGAGGAAACATTACTATGCATTTGGCCTTGTTGCTTATCTCTAAAACTAAAAGAGTTTACCTATCTTCTTTTTCTGTATCTGTGTTTCCCCTATTTTTTCAAAAGTTTTTTGTTTTTTTGTCTAGAAAGTAAACAATGCTGGGCTTTGCTCTAATGGACCAGAAATGAGGGAAGTAGAATTCAAAATTAAGGAAATTTCTAGTGTCTGTTGGGAGCCTGTTCATATCAAGAGGTTTTCAGCTTGACAGGAGCAGGCTCTTGTCCAAGAGGCCCCGGGCCACTACTTTGAAGTTAAATCGACCTCTGGAATTGTGCCTCAGAGTTTTCTAGCATGCCAGGTGGGTCAGCAGCACTGGAGCAAGCTTATGATGCCTGTTAACTCATCTGAGGTGTGGTGCTCATCAGCCTAAGGCAACAAAGCTGTATATCTAGTTTTGTCTGCTTTTCTGAGACTGATTTGGGAGGTACGTGTGTCTTATACAGTCAAACTGTGGGCTGCTGCCAAAAAGGGCAGTTCCGCTGTTATCCTCCAGCCTGGCTGATGTGTTCCTGCCTGTTTCATGCCTCAGATGCAGTGATTGTGTGGCTGCAGGGTGATCTTGGATAAGCCTGATGATCTGATGGGGGAACATTTCCTCTCTAGTCTATCGTCCCCACTCGCTTGTGAGCTAACTCAGGACTTATTATGGCAGCACAGTGGCTGGATCTGATGCAAGAGAGACATTAGGAATGAGCAGTGGGGAAAGGGAAGGAAAAGAAGGAATGAAACTGACTTTTTCAGTGGCAGCTTGCAACAGAATGAAATAATTACAATGTGAAGCAATACTTTAAATCCTGCTGGCTGCTATTAATGTATTGGGAAGTATTGACACACCAGCCACTCTGCCTCTCTACTGATAATTTAGAGCGCACTTGCTCGTCCACTGGTCATGATTAACTGAGTCGTTCTAATCCTGTCTCTTTTGAGGACCAAATTCAGTTGACTGTAGCATACCATGTAGTGGCTATGCAGTGGGTTTATGAGACAAAACCTTCTTATTTAGGATAGTATTGTAAGTGAGAAGTGTAGCAACGTACTCCTGTACAGGTGGTGTGCTGTTGGGTCCAGAGATCCTGCATCTTGTATCTGAACTGTGACTTCCTTTACATACCAGTTTATTTATCAGTTACATATACATCACCTCATGTATTCTTATTGATTATCTTCTGCCATGTTTTCTTAGCTAATTACTTTTTTCATTGTGTTTAAGCTCCAGTAATTCAAATGAATAGCGTATCTGTATTTTTAGGTGCTGTGTTTGAATGTCCTTCTGGTTTTGCTTTCTCTTTATGCTGCCATGGGGGTTCAGGGCAGACCTTTGTTACCGCACTGGGCTAAAGGCACTTTGCTCATAAGAATGTTATTTTGTAGTTTTAAGCAGTCATGCTTCTCGGTAACTTCACAGTTAAAATAGTTTTAATTTGTAGGTCTTTGCTGCACTAAAATACATGTGATTTGCAGCTGTACATTGGTTATCTAAGGCCTAATAACACTTACGTTTTCTGTTTAAGTAGCATCTATCATAGTATATCTTCCTCAGTTGAGCCCACATGGATTAATTAGTAGCCAGCCAGTCCATACACAAAGACTGAAATTCCTTCTGCGCTAGCTAACTTGTTTAACTGATCTTGGTGGCCAGAAGTTATGGCAATGGACAAGTCCATCCTGGATATGCTGCTGACAATGTTCTGTTGGTAAGCCTTCTGGGAGGTGAATTGAATCAATGGGCAAGTCAGCTGTATTACCAGAGGCTGATTTTTGGGCCAAGACTCTTCAAGTACTTTTCTATACAGCCAGACTGAGGGAGAGGAGGAAAGAAGTTGATCCAAAACATCCTGGTTGCCTTATTCTGTGTCTAGCCTTACAAACCAAGGTAGTCTATACTAGCTTCTGCAATGCAGCACAGAAATGTGCTC